TACACAGCTTCGGTGATTCCCATGCCAATATAGTTCTATACCAATAATACACGTTGTGTGAAGCATACAATGTAATACCAACACTAACACTATTACCTGTGACATGTAAATCACTCTCATGTTTAAAATAAAAATTTTACCACCGTTAGCGTCAGGAAAGTTGATGACTTCACTACAATAGTCTACTTTTTCTAGGACAGGGAAGCCTTGTAGAGGAATTTCAACCTCTCCCATGCCATCATCGTTTGATTCACCAGCGCTCATAACTTATGTGAATACTGGAAATAAATCTATTCCTTTAAAAATTTGAAATCTGACTGTTTGGATCTAAGCTCAATAGAATTAAAAAAAAAAAAATTAATGGAGCGGTCCCATGGCGCCGTTGGGTCAAAGTTAATTGAGCAAAATTAGGAAAAACACAAGAATAAAGGCCAAACCAATGGTAGAAAATGAATTAATCAAAAACCTAAAACTGCTGGAACGAAGATAATGTAGTCTTTTTTAAATAAAACAGAGATTAAAAATTAGGCTGGTGAAGGCAGAGAGGTTGGATCAGCTGAGGACGGGATGTCGGGTCCGACTCTGCAACCTTCAAGCATGAACACGATGTCGGCAATGGATGGTCGATCAAGCGGATCAGGAGCCGTGCAAAGAAGCCCCACTTTCACTCCCAACAAGAACTCTTCCCAATCCGAAGATTCCGGGTCTAGTTCCAGCAGCCCGGGCTCCAGCAGCTCAGAAACTTGACCTCTCTGAAGTTGCTTCTTCACCCACTTCACTATGTCTTCGTCTTGAGTAAATGTCACAGGATTCCTCCCGGTCAATATCTCCAGCAATACGATCCCAAAACTATACACATCGGCTTCTTTCGTTGCTTGCCCTGTTAATGCAGCTTCGGGGGACACATAGCCTAGGGAGCCAATCGTGCTTGAAGACGAGGAAGCTTTTGCTGGTGTGGCTATGGTTAGCCGGTCTAGACCAAATTCGGATAAATGGGCTTCAAAATCAGCATCAAAAAGAACGTTTTGAGGCTTTACATCGCCGTGTACCATTGAGGCAGAGTGAAGGTAGGCTAATCCACGAGCAATGCCGAGTGCTATGAGGTGCCGCATTGGCCAATTTAATACATGCCCGTCTTGGTGAGATGCCTCTTGTAGAAGAGCGCCTAAGTTTCCATTCGGCATGTAATCGTACACAAGAAGCCTCACGTCAGGAGCACCGGCATAGTAGCCTCGTAGAACTGTCAGGTTTCGATGCTTCACCTTGCCAAGATCTTCAGCTTCTTTGCGGAAGCCACCTTCATCAAGAAAACCATCAGTAAGACGTCGAATTGCGAGCACCATTCCATCTTGAAACATAGCCTTGAATACCAATCCATATCTTCCTCTGCTAAGCACATTTTCCTCATCGAATTGTCTTGTAGCTTCTAATGCCTCTGCATACGTGATCTTGCTATTGAACATCACGAGTTTTGGCCCTCCATTAGCGCCACTTCCCCGGCTGCTTTTATCCCCTGAGCTTGTTCGAGGGCTGGTTCGCTTCTTCTGCACCCCAATTACTGTTTCTCTGAGCTTTTTCCGCCATCGCAGTAGGCTGTAAATATAGCCACAACAACACAATGCCAGCAGGAAAGCTCCGCCCACAGCCACCGCAATTAATAAAGTCAACCTGTTTCTTTTTCTCCTTCTCACATCTGCACATTCTCTATCCAATGGCTTCCCACATAAGTCTCCATTCCTTGCAAACACGGAAGGATCATTGAACTGAGAACCGAGTGGCTTCGGTATCTCTCCAGCAAGGTTGTTGTATGACAAATTCAGGTATTTCAAGTTAGGGACGAGGAACGACAGACTCTCAGGGATGGTGCCACTCAGATTGTTAGAAGAAAGATCTAACGCTGTGAGGTTCAATAACTTAGGCAATGAGTTTGGTATGTGACCTGAAAGTCGATTCCCATCTAACAACAGAGAAGTCAGAGAAGAGCATTTTGAAATCTCCTCTGGGATTTCACCGGTCAGCTTATTCTGACCTACATTGAGTTCTTTCAAATTGGATAGGCGAGATATATCACCTGGGATTTTGCCTTCTAATTGATTAGAGCGAAGCTCAAGGACTTGAAGATTCAAACAATCTCCAAGCTCTTGCGGGATTGTACCCGAAATACGATTTCCAGACAAAGATAGAACAAGTAAAGAGTTGAGAAATCCATAAGTGGTAGGAATATCACCAGTAAAAGCATTGGAAGATAGGTTAAGATAGATCAAACTAATCAAGCTACTAAAACCTTGAGGGACATCTCCTGATAAGTGATTTTCCTGCACAGCAACAACTTGTAAATTTGGCAACCCGAAAATCTGAATCGGCAACTCCCCAGAAAGCTTCTGTTTACTCAAATCCAGTGTTTCAAGCTTCATCAAACCGCCAATGCTCGCAGGAACACTTCCAGAAAACTCACAATTGCTCAAATTCAAAACTTGCAAGCTTTTCAGCTCTCCAACATTAATAATCTCACCAGAAAACTTGTTATTACTCAGATTCAAACTAGTCAAGTTGCTTAGCTGCATCATGAGCTCATCTGGAACTTTCCCAGTCAGATTATTGTTGCTCAAATCCAAAGATTCGAGCTTTGAAAGTGCCCCTAAATTTGACGGAATGGCACCAGAGAATAAATTCCCACCCAAAGACAACACCTTCAAGCTCCTCATTCCTCCTAAAAAAGAAGGAACTTGACCCAAAAATCTGTTTCCTTCAACATCAAGGACCTGTAACAAACTACATTTCACAATCTCACGGGGAATTTCACCACTCAGTGAATTATTCGCCGCCCAAAACTCCTGCAACTGGAGAAGATTGCCAATCTTCGCCGGCAATTGACCCGAAAACATGTTTCCAGAAAGATCTAGAATTCTCATAATTGTTGTCACGTTTGTCAACCAAGATGGGAAGGGGCCACTTATCCGATTGGATTTTAAGTCCAAAACCCCCATTGCACTCGAACATTTTGAGATATCTGGCGGCTGAGCCATGCTCGTGAGTGCATTGAATCCGAGCTCCACAATCCTCAACGAGGAGTCGTTGTTTGCAGTACTGCACAACAACGATGCGGGGACCGCCCCTGACAGGTTGTTCCGCGACAGCGACAACACCTGAAGCTTCGGCATCGCTCCGATCGTCGTCGGAATCAGACCTCTCAGCTCGTTGTCGTCCGCGCTCAAATGCACTAGCGACGAGCAATTGGAAATCGCCGACGGCAGAGTACCGTGCAGCTGGTTCGAGTCCAGCCACAGATACTCAAGATTCTTGAGCCCTCCGATGGTCGCCGGAACCCTGCCGGAGAACCGATTGAACGAGAGATTGATCAGCTGGAGGCTTGATTCGGCAGATAAGTTCGCCGGAATTTCACCGGAGAATGTGTTCGAGGAAAGGTCAAGGTACCAGAGGCTCACCGGAATGTCGCCGGATATTTTTCCGGAGAGGAAATTATGGGCGACATTAAGGATTTGGAGGTTGGTGAGGTTCAAAATCGCCGGCGGAAGAGTCCCGGTGAGCGAGTTGCCATGCAGGTAAATGGCCCGTAACAGAGCGCATTGGGAGAGAGAGGGAGGTATAGAGCCGTTGAAGTTGTTGCTGTAGAGGCTGAGCTTGCGGAGGTCGCGGAGGCTGGCGAGGTGGTCAGTGATTCTTCCGCCGAGGTGGAGACGAGGCAGGCGGAGTTCCTGAACTCCGTTGTTGAAACAGACGACGCCGCGCCAGTCGCACGGGGCTGACGGCGTGGACGAATCCCAGCCGTCGAGAGCGCCAAGAGGGTCGTGGAGGTTACGCTTAAACGCCGTTAACGCTTGGATCTCGGAGAGTGCCGTTTCTGTACTCGGCCGTTGAGCCGCCGTTAAGGCGGCGGGGAAATAAATTGTAGGAATAACAATTTGTATGAGGAAAAGGAAGAAGTAAGTGGCCGTCGCCATGAGAGAGGTCAGAGAGAGAGCACTGGAAAGCAAAATGTGCTAGGTTTATAAACTAATTATGCTGGGTGTGGGGTGCATGCTGCTGGGTTTGCGGCGGGGTTTTGTGGCGGTGGTGGGAGGAGCTAGATCGAGAAAGACGGAGTCGGATCGAGAGGCCGCCATTGCCGCAGATGAGAAGGCGAAGAAGATCTGCTCTGAGGAAAGAAATGGCGGAGTGAAGAGGGACAGATTTAGGGTTTCTAACTGCCGTGTGAGCTCCTGAGTGATGCTGACATACTGATGACTGAAGTGGTGGTGTGTTATGGTGTGGCCAGATGTATGGGAAGTTCATAACCAGGCAAATGAACTGATGCCACGTGGAAAGGTACGTACTTGTCCGCTGTTAGAGTCAAAAAGTTTGAATCTTGAACAAGCTGATAGTCTCTTTTGGGTGAAGTCTTTCGTACTTTTGGACGAAGATTGCGACAAAAAAAGGGAAAAGCAAATCTCAGGACTTCCCCTTTTATTTATTTATTTATTTTCTTTTTAGTTTGAATAAAAAATGAGGAGAGAGAAAAATGGGTGTAATAATTGGAGGAGGCCCCGCAAAAAAAGGTCAATGATGATGTCCATGACGACTCTGGGAAAAGAAGGGGAAGACAACGATTGGCGGGAGAAAATTTCAAACGTATACACAACCAAAAGTCATTGCGACGGTATTTTAACACAATCAAATAATATCTTATATGTTGACTTACAACATGACAACTGATATGGTAGGTTTTAAGGAGAAATGATTTACGCTCTCTCTCTATTCTTCAGACACCTCCTTACATTTCTACTTCTAGTCGCTTCATCAAATAACTTAACTTTGAAATAAGAGATAAGAACAAATAGAATAATGCAAGAATCATTTATGCTTTTGATCGGTTTGAAATACCATCACAGTTGCTTCGCGGTTAGAGGTAAGTTGGAATACCTCCACAGGTGCTTATGGCCTTTAACTCTCTGAATCCCACCGTGATGAAAGCAGCAGAATACAGGTTCAAAAAATGGTGGTAAAAGTAAATCTGCCCTCTCGGTTTCCTTTATTAATGTAAACTGCGGATCTTGCACTAAGAGGTAGGAACTTATGCATACAAAGAGTATCAAAGATACAGAGACTACTAGTTGGACTGTCTAATTTGTACCCAAAAAAAAAACAGGAAACTAAGTACACTTTTCAGGCAGCTGTCAAACCTTCGGGAAAGGATTCAACCTCAGGGCCCTGCGAAAGAAATCTACGGCAAGCGTAAAAAACAGCTGAATGGAATCGTTCGGGTTGGTCTATGAATACAAAGTGCCCAGCCTGCAATATTTTATCAGGAAAACCTTATTCATCGAGATCAAAAAATTAATTAATGACAACAACTGCGTGGATAAATAGAAGGCAGAGAGAAACATACTTCCGGAATCCTAATGATCTCACATGGGACCTTCATTTTTTTGCCAGCTTCTTGAGCCCCTTGGTAGTTCACCCAGTCTTGATATCCGTAAATAAAAGTAGTCGGCACTTTCCACTCCGATGCACTGTACATAAAAGAAAAGGACTCCGTGTAAATGATTCGCGCAAAGCAACTTTATTACAACAAACTTCCAACTATTCTTTGATGTTCAGTAAAGAGATTAGTATCATCAGACCTCTGTATAAGGGGACTCCTAGCAAATGCTCCGAAAGAAAATATGTACTTTAAGCACAGCTCCCCACTAGCTTTGGCTGCTAAAGTATGGTACACATAATCTGCAATTATAAAAAAGCAACCATCAAGATCTTAAAAGTTGGATAAGTGTGTTCTGTGCACAAATAAATTGACCTTACATTACCTGTTAGAAGTCGGGATTCCTCTTCAGTTAGTGCGGTCCCTGTTGAATAAGAACCAAATCTGGCAGTAGTGTAACTCCGAACGAGATTTGGACCCAAAGGCCCTAGCCCTCTGCAAAAATAAGGTAAACATACACAAACATAAGATCTAAGGAAAGCACAACATGAACCACCTCTTTCTCTCTTTCATCTCTGATCCATCACTAATCTTTGGAAGAAATGGATTTCAAAGTGCACCAATGGCTCAAAATGCGCATGGTGTGAATGAGAAAAAGTACTTCGTGTCCAAACTGACAATTTGAACAAAAGCACCACACAACTTGAAATCATAATTTTAAAAAACAAACAGAAACGTGCGCATGCCTCCGTGCTTCCTCTGGTCTATTCCTCTCAGGAGAAGGGTGAGAGAGGAGGGGAAGCACGGGAAATCAGTATGAGTGGAGGTGGGAAGCTCAAGTTGTTTCAAATAAATGCAAAAGAATAATATTTCCAAAGAATTAGTATTACAGGTTCATAGAACATGTTGCAACCTGCATCTGTAAAGTGTGCAACTACCATATCAGAAACCTACAAAAATGATTGAAATGGATAATATGTACCATGCATGATATGATTTTGCAAATCGTATTGACATTTGTATGAGGACGGAAAATATGTATCTACCTGACTAACTTCTGTGGAGTAAAATTAGACTCCCACAAATAGTTGAAAATTGCTCCTTTCCATGTTGCTTTGAATTGGTTAAGCCTCTCATAGGATGCATCTGACTCCGATGAAAACCCGACAGGTCCCACTAAAATCAAATGCTTAACGTGCTCTGGATGCTATCATATTAAAAAAATTACGACCATGAATACCAGACCTACCACCATTATCCCTAGATTCAAGTAAATATATGGGATAGCAAATACCTTCAGAGTGTACTTTGATGCAACATACCCACCAACTGAATGTCCAAGTAATATAAAGTTGCTGAGGTTTTTGGCTTTTCGCCATTCCTCAAAGGAATCGATGAACCATGCCTCAGTTTCTGCATTACCAGTTGCTAGTTAATTACTCTGGAAAAGTTATACTGTCCATCTTACAGATTAATAGTGAAAAAAACTCTTGACCACCGTCAAAGTAAGTTATAACTTGCGGCACAAAGATTAATATATAACGCCAGAGTAAAATTACCTTCAGTGCTTTTACATGTAAAATCAGGCCTGCTTGATCCGCCCCAACTGTAAATAACATTAAACCAAGGATTTGAGAACAAAATATATTACAGAAATACACCCCGAAAAGCACCATCTAACATGGAACTACAAAAGGTTAAAAATGTTTGGTATCAAACATGAAAGGGAAGTTGTGTGTCTTTAAAAAGTTTTCGACACCAGAAGGAAAAGAAACCAAGTGCACAGTAGAACTACAACGGAGAACACCAAAATAAAAGCCTGCGGACTCAGAGCTAGAAAAATTTGTATCCCAACAAAGCCTGTAGTAATTATTTAAGAAATGTTTCCGGAGCACCAGACACCAAAAATAGAAAAGAAGAGAGTTTAATCTTGAACCAAGACTAAGCATCTGGTACAAAAACACAACTACTTAAGCATCAGTTAGACTACTTAAGAGTTGTAAAATTATGTTCGTTCATCGCTGTGGTGTACATGTACAAGTTTTAACATTACAACTGAAAACAAAAGGATATCTTATTATCTTCACAAAGTAGTTAGGATGGGTTGCACACCAAGGAATAACTTAAAGCATGTAAAAGTTAATAACTTCCAAGAGGGGTTAAAAAACTAAGCAAACAAAGAATAAATTCAACAATCAACGTTAAGAATCTGCTCACCCTATTTGATCGATGGCAATGACCCTGAACCGACTGGCAAGGGCATCGAAATTTCTAAAGAAGAAACCTTGAGAAGCACCGTATCCGTGAAGCATAACAATAGTAGGAGAATTCTCTTTGCTGTCAAATGAAACCGTGTTGATTAGCCTTTCTTCATTGCTTTTGGATCGAAACCACCTGACTTTAGAGCCCGGTGGTCCAGATCCTATATTCACCAGTTCTTGAACATAAGAAGTCCTGCGAAATTCAAGCAATTCCCATTATTTTGTCAGAATTCAACCTTTTCAACCGTTCAGTAAATTGAAGAAAGTTAAGAGTTGCGGTTTGAACACACAAAATTGATAAGAAATTTGAGAAATTAGCCAACTTCAGCTCCAAATTAAGGTTCTTACTACAATTGTACTTCAGAAAAATCCTTAAAATTAGAACTTCATGACGGCACAAACTAACAAATTTCCTAGTTTCCGTTTCAGTATTTGCTCAACAAATTAACACAACTCTGCAATCAAACGAATTGGAGAGAGAGTGAAAGAGAGGTGGATTACTTGACAAGAGAGAGCAGGCGCTTCTCGGCGGCGATGATCTTATCGGTGGATGTAGGGATCCAACGGAGGACAGAGGGCCAAAACGATTTGGACTTGGGATTAACCGCAGCAGCAACAGCATCGGATTCGTAGGCTGCAGCAACGGCGGCAGGGGAGGTTCGTTGCTCGGCGGACCTGCTGACTTCGCCGGCCATTCTCGACGAAATTCTACGCAGGTTCATACGCTTTCAAAACAAATGGAAACTTTGATTTTTGGCTGCGACTAATAACGGAAAGTTTATATATACGCCGATTCTTTGCCAATGTTTCGCGCTTTTTCGACTCCGACGGAAGGAGACAGAAGAGCTTCGTTTCTTCGAAGCTGATACGGGACACGTGTTAAATTCTGGATCAGTCGTCAGCATTGACGGTGATTCGAGTAAAGACGTTGGCGATGACGTAAATTTTAGCCTTGTGAGGCCCACATGAAACAGGAACGAAAGCCTCCGAGTTCACACACAATTTCTTGTTTGGTGGTGCTATGCCAAACATCTATTTTAACCTTCCAAAAGCCATTCTTGTTGAAAAGTCTAGTGGGTATTGAATGCCCGCATAGAAACTGCAGACTTTGGGTGGGTTTTCAATGCCCGTGCAGTTAATCTTGACTTGGGAGATAAAGGAAGTTATATTGTCAAAGATGTGTGCTTGGAGTTGCTCTATAAATAGAGCACTCCGTATGCTTTGAACAGATAGCAAAAAAAAAAGAAAGAGAGGAAGAGGAGAGGAGAGAATACATAGAGTTATCTTTGTACTCCTATTTATAATAAAAGCATCACTGCTGCCCGAGGACGTACTCCAGTCACACTGACTGTAGAGGAACCTCGTAAATTTTGTGTCTTGTTTTATTTATTCCACTGTACACACATCGTCGATTTTACAACACGTTATCAGCACGAGAAGCTCTTATGTCAGTGGAAAGCACAACGCCATAAATCCGATGAAGCACTATCCACCTCTCACCTCCATCATCTAAAATCTCACAGAATAAAAGGTATGTCCATTTTTCGTCTTTCCCACTGCGCCAGAAGCGCCCCACTGAATTCCGATGAGAATTGAAATTTACGACCTGAAGTCGTCACGAGATGAGAAAACTCGTACTTGACAACTGGTTTCCAGAGATCCAGAAGAATCTCATCAGACTTGGAAACCCAGATCACGTTGTTTTCAACAAATCTTGAGAACTCCCATGAATACTTGGTTGTTTGAGATGGTGATGGCAAGAATGAATCCACACAGGCCTCCCTCTCTTGTGCCTCCGTCAACCCCACTGTCATCTATGTCTCTGTAGGGAAGTTCTTGCTTAACGATGACATGTTCCCTGGGTCATGCAAGAACAACGCCAGTTTCTAGTAGTTTTTTTTGGATTGAATTGAATTTGGGCAACCTCCATAACTACCCAACTGGCCCTGCGTTTCGAGACTGGCAGAGACAGAGAAGGAAGGATAGAAAATGGGGATTGATAGAATGACAAGGCACATGTGAAGAAGAAAAAAAAAGATGTTGACTGCAACATAAGAAAAATATATATATATAAAATGATTTGAATAGTGCATGACACCATTTAGTCAAAATGATATAAATGGTTTATGTTGGTGCATGGCACCATGCTACAGAAATAAGAAAAGTAAAGCTTGAATAAGTGCTGACAAAAGAAAGAAAAACAATAAATAAAATGAGGTATGATACTTCTTGTTATTTATGTGAATTGGTGTTGGTTTAAAACCCTTTCACAAGTTCTATTTACTTTAAAGTAATTTATTTATCATGGACGGTTTTACCACCTACTGCTTTAAGTTTTGATTTATGTGAATGGTGCTGAATTAAAGCCCCTGTCACAAGCTTTATTTACTTAAATGCAATTTATTCATTATGGCTGGAATTACCGCCTATTGCTTTAATTTATTTATTGTACTTCTTTTTGTTACTATGAGTACATACTGGACCCGAAGTTCCTTGATCAGATCAGAACCTGCAGTTTCTTGATCCTCATCATATAAAAATGATTGGACCTGAAGTTCCATCAAACAAAAAGATCGGGCATAAAGTCCCTTGATCCTCAAGATTAGGACATAAAGTTCCTTGATAAGTATCTTAAGTTTGAAGTGCCGCAGTACCTCAACTTAATTGCAATAAAAGTCATAAGAGTCTCGGTCTGTAAGACTATTAAATAAGGACCAGAAGTTCCTTATGTCCATACTCAAAAATGGTTTAGCAGAAGCATTTATTAAGCGGATGAAATAGATTACCCGCGCTCTGCTCACGAAAATAAAATTGCCCGTTTTTACATGGGTACATGTCATTTTACATGATGCATTATTGATTTGGTTGAGACCTGTTGACAACCATCAATACTTCTCAGTACAACTCGTGTTTGGGAACCAGCCAAACATTATATATTTACGAGTTTTTGGTTGTGTTATCTATGTGTCTATTGCACTGCCACAACATACTGAAATGAAGCATCATTGCGGATTAGGCATTGATGTTAAACATTATCTATCATTCAATATTTAAAACCCTTGATTGGGGATACATTTACCGCGTGGTTTGCGGACTGTCATTTTGATAAGACAGTTTTCCTGCCGTTAGGGGGAGAAAATAACTTTGTTTCAGAAGAACGATAAGCAAATATCATTCCAGAAGAATGATGAGAAAAAACCGTTCTAGAAAAACGAAGAGAATTTGTCGTATTTTGATTCATGAAGCAATCAATATACAAGCAAAGTGAGAATAATTGAATGATGCAACGATATGCAAATCAAATGCCAGATGCATTTAATGATGCAACGAAAATGATAAAATCACATATACTTGCTGCAAGTGTGCCTACAAGAATTAATGTCCCTATTGGACAAAATAATAGGGCAGCAAATGATTTATCTGTTACACGCTTGAAGCGTGGCAGATCCTCAGACTCAAAAGGTTCAGTCCTTCGAAAGAAGAAGAATATGGCACTACTGAACTATTGCATAACTGTCACATGCCAGACGCATAACAGTTGTTGCAAGGATACTTGTCCCGAAAAGGTCACTCCGCGGACATGGGAATATTGATGTCTCATGCATGAAGCATGATAGATATATAGGTTCCAATGACTCAACTACCGGAAGTGGAGATTAAAATCCAAGCTCTATAACGCTCAAGAGGAGGTTATGATCCGCATTCTATAAATTATAACTATCCTGGAAGAGATAGTGTAATGCCCTTGAAGAGGCAATGGATATCCCAAAAGAAATGAAAAGCTTTTATGCATGCGCATGTACATGAGAATATGGGATCACAAATTGATGATAACCAATGGTAATTTTGGTTCTTACAAGTAGCTACTAAATTCATCAATGAGCTATGGTGATATTGAGTCCCGTTCTTTTTCCATCAACAAAATTATGGGCCAAAATGGAGAAAGGCAATTCCATTACAATTTTGTAAGAACGTGGAAAAATAGACCTATATATTTGGATACAATACAAATAGCCAAAAGATGTTGAACCTAGAAGGTTACATATGGGCATTTGTAATACCATGAAATACATTCACATGATATGACACAAGGTTGTAAAGGAGTTCATATGAATGGAGAATTATATACGAAGGGTTATGAGTCGCCCACATCATATCTCCATAAGTAAATCCCTCAAATATACATGGAAGCAAATTGCTCTGTATAAATTCTAAAGGAAAATGTGTCATGAAATGTAGAAAATCCCTGAAGGATTCAAATTGCTTGAAGAAAGCCCCGGAAAGGTAAAGCATGAAATATGTACTCAATACCAATGTATGATATAAATTGCCTTAGTGAGTACTTTCATTATGGTATTGTTGCAACATACTAAAATCTCTTGCAAGAGTTGATGATATTAAATTGGGACTCCTGAAGAGTCAAGAAAGATTATAAAGTGTTGAGAGAAATATTGTCTCGAACTGCAGAATCGAACAATATGCCAACACGAATCTTATCCACGATGTTTATGACATTAAAGAATCGTATGAATTGAAGATTATGAGTTGAATACTCAAATGATTTAGACACAAAGAATGATCATTTATCTTCGCGAGAGTAAAGATAAATTGATATTTGGTCCAGAAGTACCACATCTTAGTGAAATATATGCTTTATTGTATTTAACACAATACACTGAATGAAATAAAGCTTATCTATTAATATCTCCGAGAAATTACATACACATGAGTTAAAACAAACAAACAGAAATGAACCTTCACAAAGGTTACTCATGTGAAGCCTCAGTACTCGGAAGTACCCCAGAAGGGGAAGACACCAGAAGTTGATTATTTGGAGTCTCAATACTTGGTGGAACTCCATACAGCTAAGACAATGGATGTCTTTGGAATAAAGACTCGAACCCCCGATTGTCATTTTGAGTCCGACCTTCGGATTCTAGTAGCTGGTCGAGCTTTCTTTTCATGCTCGTAGAGTAATTATTTGCAAGCATGTGTAACACTCTATTCTCATGTTTGAGCCCTCTAATCTCTTGTCTAAGACTTGCCACCTCAGCCATTAATGATTCAACTTGGTGAGTTCGAGCAAGTAGACGCTGGCCCATATTGGATACAGAGCCCGCACATTGAACACTGAGAGCCAATGAGTCTTGAACGGCCGCCTCATCAGACCGGTTTGAAAGGATTCTGTTGTCCTTTGGAGTGAGAAGATTTCTGGCTACCACTATAGCAGTTATGTTATTCTTCATCACAGAGTCCCCAACCGTAAGAGGACCATTAGAAGTTGAGAAGGACGGGCGCCATTTGTTATCCTGACGCTGCTCGTCTGTATCAATCCTGAGACTCAAATCTAAACAAATGTTAGATGGGCAAGCCATTTTCAGAAATGATGAAGGAAGTCAGATAAAATCTCAGAAGTACAAGAAAGGGAAATTTCTGCAGGCAACAATTTTCTGAGTGTTACTGAACAAAAATTGATCTCTATAAAAGGAGGGACAACAGGACCACTTATTCAAAAATCGAAGAGACACCGATTTTCGAATCTCAAAAGCTGGATTTCCCTGCATGACGTCTGTCAACATTTCTCAGACACAATCTCAGTTCTTGGATATCACGTGCAACTTTGTCAAAGATTTCTGATAAAGTTGAAAACGCGTGAATCTTACTGTTCTAATTACACCGCAGTTGTTGACAAGAGTAAAGACACAGCTTTACTACCTGCTATTGGAAAATCAATATATATGTCAACCTCTGTCCTCCATGGCAAGGCAGAACTGAAAAA